AAGCAAAAAGCAGAATGAAATGCACGTGGGCATCGATTGGTCTCTGTAGAGATGGCCAACTGGAAGGAAACAGACTAAAATGTTAACAGGGATTTTTCTGTAGCTTGTAACACTGGAGCTTTTTCTTTAAATGACTCACATTTCCCAGATTTTCCTAAAGTAACCATGTGTTTAGTGACCACAGAGGCAACAGAGAAGAAATAAGTCAGGGTGATATAAGCAGGGAGGGGCAACTTTAGGTAGGGTGATCAGGAAGGACACTGTGGAGGAGATGATACCTGCACTGAGATGGGCCAGCGCGGGGGAAGCTGTAGAAACTGCGCACTGCTGCATCCCATTGGGTCACAGGGCAGGCACCTGAAACATTTTGTGAAATGAATACAGGAATTAAGGAATAGCTGCTAAGTCTCCAGGGATCCCCACCAGAGTGTGGCTCTTCAGTGGGGCCATCCTCATCAGACCGGGCTGATGAACAGGGCCGGGATACAGGGCTTAGCAGAGAATTATGGTCACGGTGTTGGGCCTCAGTTTCACCCACCAGGGAAATGAGGTTAGTGCCCCTGCTGCCACAGCCCCTCGAAGTTAGCTTCAGATGACACAGTGCTTTGAAATATCGAGTGCAGTGCAAGCATGAGGGGCTGGCATGCGCCAGGAGGTCCTCGTGAGAGCCCAGAGACAGCTCCTTGCAAGCCCGACACCCGGTGGCCTTAGGTAAGTTGCTTTGTCTCACAGGGCTGGCCTCGCTCGGCACTCAGCAAGGGGAAAAGATGCCACATCAGCCCCGACCTTCCCGCCTGCCTGTGCTTTTCCCAGATACATTTACTAAGTGCAGGCCTGTGCTGGCCACTGCAGATCCTGAGATGAAAGACAAGGCCCTGCCCTTGGGAGAGTCACGGTGCACCTGGGGCAGCCAGATGAGCAGAGGGTCACAATCCCCTGGTGTGTGACTGACCGCACAGCGGGGAAAACAGGCCAAAGCGGGGTCACTCCACCTGCTGCCAAGGCAGAAACAATGGCCAGCAGTGGGGTGGGGGGGGATTGAGCCTGTTCTGGGTTTTCGTACAGTGTTTCATTTTCTCCGCAGGACTTTGCCAGGTTATCACCATTGCAAAGATGGGAGCCAGAGGCTCCATTCGTGGTCAAGGTCGCAGAGCTTGGAGGCAGCAGCAGAACTCCTGCCTTGGCCTGAGGGATTCTGGAGTCTGTGTCCCTGGCACATAGCACCCTGAGGAGGTGGGGCGGGGGGGGGGGGGGGGAGAGGGGAAGGAAGGGTGGCTGGCAGTGGGAAAGGCAGAGGGAGGGGGGCAGAAGTGAAAGCCTGTTGCATTTAGGGACTGAGGGCCAAGGGGGGATGGTGGGCGCTGAGGTGGACACAAACTGGCCAAAGATATGTGCCAGGGGAGACTTTCCATATATAGAAAAAAGCGATGTGAGAGCAGGAAATCCACAAATAGGTCTGAAAGTGAAATGTCCCCAGGCTGTCATTCCCCTGCCCTAAGCTACCCACTCAGAGGACATTCAGCAAAGGGCCAGGGGACCACGGCCCAATCCTGACTCCCACGTGGGTGCCAGCTGCTCAGGGGAACTGGCCCAGTCTGACAGGGGGCACGCCCAGGTGTCTCCAAGGGCAACCTGGGAACCCAGCACTGTCATCCTGGTCTGTGTGAGGAGGGCACTTGGCTAAGTGCTCCCTGTGGAAACCCCGGCTCTCCCAGAGCAGTGGCCCTCGTGGAGCTCCGAGGAGGAAGAGCCACACTGGGCCTGATTGCTGGGACTGAGCAGAACTAAAGATGCCCCCGGCTGGCTCTGTCAGTAGAACATGTGACTCTTGATCTCAGGGTCATGAGTTCAAGCCCTACATTGGGCATGGAGCCTATTTTTTTTTTAATTACAAAAAAAATAAAGATGCCCCAGTACTCCCATGGGTTCTCTGCTCATTCAAATGCTAATCGAGGTGCTGTTGTGAAGGGACTTTGCAGATGGAATGAAGTTTACCAATAGGTTGACCTTAAAATAGAGAGATTATCCTGGATTATCTGGCTGGGTCCAATGTAATCACATGAGCCCTTAAAAACAGAAAAGGGCGGCAGAAGAGAAATGCAGCAGAAGTGTCAGTCGGGGACTGGAAAGCTCGAGAACTCCATCCGCCATCGGTGGCTCTGAGGGTGGGGAGGAGGGGAGGGCACAAGCCAGGAAGTGAAGGTGGCTGAGAATGACCCCGGCTGGCAGCTAGCAAGGACACGGGATGCTCAGTCCCACAACTCCAAGGGAACAAATTCTGCCAACAAGCTTAACGAACTTGGAAACAGGTTGACTGCCAGAGCCTCCGGAAGGGAAGCAGCCCTGCTGACACCCGTGAGACCCCAACAGAGACCGGTTGAGCCGCCCGAGCCGCCCTGTGCCCAGACCCCTTACAGAAACCGTGAGGCAGTAAGTGGCCATTGTTTTAAGCCGCTAAGTTTGGGGCAATTTGTTGCAGCAGCCTTGGAAACGAATGACTCCTACGTGAGCTGAGGACAGACCACCCAGGCCCAGCAGTGGACGGCACAGGGCCTGGGGTGCTGGCAGTGAGGGCGGGCTCCAGATGCTGGCTCCACACTGCTCAGAGGAGACGGGGGAAGGGAACCACTGGGTCTGGGCAGGAGTGTTCCAGCCAAAGTGTTCACTCACACACTCGACCAGCACTTCTCAAGCATGTGCTAGGACACAAGCACTGGCAGGGTGTCTGCAGCTCAAATCTCATGAGGAGAGCCAGGGCCAGACTCAAGCCAGTGAAATGAGTCCTGTGAGAGGACCAAATTCCCTGAGGCCATGGGAGGTCAGAGAAGGGTCACCAGTCCCCTAGAGATCGGGGTTTCCCAAGGCCTGAAGCCATCCTGGATCTTGGTGGTCCAGGAGGGAAAGAGGTCAGGTAAGGGCCACTCTGAGAACAGCAAGGCCACAGAATGAAGAGATCATGCGTGGCACATTCTGGAAGGGCAGCAGATTTCGCAGACCACAGGAAAGGGGATGGCCAGCAGGTGGACCAGGGCAAGCTCAGGAAAGCCTGTAGGTCAAAAAGGGAAGTTGGACTGAGGAGGCTAAGCAGGGGAGAGGCTGTGGGGTGGGGACACATCTCAGGACCCCACTCACCCTGACTCGGGATAGGCAGGCCCGAGCTGGTGGACTAAGGCACCCACATGCCCTCTGTATGAGTACCAGCCTCCCAGGTGGCTAAGTCATCAGCACCTGACACATTAAGACCACAGCGAGGCCCTGAGAGACTGACCACATTGGGGAAAACAACAAAGGAGGGGTGTCTAGGGCACAGAACTGGGAGTCCTGGCCTGTGGGCCCTGGAAAGCCAGCTGAGGGGATGGCAGACAGCAGCCCTCCACCTGCGGCTTTGGCACGAAGCTGGAAGCAGGCTCTGACATCCATCGGGGCAGCAGGGGCACATCGCACCGTGTGACAGGCCACCTCGAAACTCCCTTCCCAGATGGGAACCAGGCGCTTGTCTTACATGAGCTCCAGACGTGGGAAAACCCACTCCAAACTCCTGTCTTCACCACAAAGCTGGCAGCAGAGGCCCTGAGGTCCTCTGGCTCCAGGGAGGAGGCTGCGGAGGACTTCTGACGGCTCTGACAGGGACCAGAGGACAGGGCCCTGCCACACCTTGCTCCGGACTGCTGGCAAGCCCTCCCCTCCTCAGGCTTTCCATTCTCCAGTGTGGTAATATTCATAGCTCACGTGTCTTTAAATGCAAAGTGCTTTCCATGCATTGATTCATCTGATCCTCAGAACAACCCTTCATGTTTTTATTAGCCAATTTCATAGTTGGACAGGTGTTTTGAATTCTAAATTTTTAACCAACAAATCCCTTCTTGAAGGGAAACAGCAAAAGAAAAACGAACATGAAAAACAGATTAGAGCCAACTGTGGACTGGAGAAAGGCTAGAGCCCCACTTAAGGAACATCCC